ATAATATATATATATATAAATTATATATAAATATAAAAATATATAGTGAAAATTCAAATTGAAAAATTCAGACACGTAAAATTTAAACACATGGGTTACCACGTGGGTAACCGATGTGTTCGAATTTTACGTGTTTAAATATTCCAGTTTAAATTTTAACTATATCCATGTAATTCATGCTTCAAAAGTTCCATCATTAAACAAATAAAATCACAATTCCAGGACGATTAAATCAATCATATATATGAGACAATGTGAGTTACCCACATGGATTATCCACGTGTTCGGAATTGTTAGAGAACCAACACTTTTACGTGTTTAAATATTCCAATTTAAATTTTAACTATATCTATGTAATTCATGCTTCAAAAGTTCCATCATTAAACAAATGAAATCACAATTCTAGGACGATTAAATCAATCATATATATGAGACACGTGGATTACCCACGTGTCTAAAATATATAATATTTGCAGGTATTGATTGGTTATTTTATTTCCATAATTGATTTTTAATTATTCCCATTTTATTTCCATAAATAATTTCGTATTATCGATACTTTGTAAACTTTTTGCTTAATTTCTACTTGCATTTGTACTTTTCACTTGTTTAATCCACATATTCGAAAAAAATTTATGAATGTTTAAAATAAAAAAAATATTTACAGTCACGTCTAAGTCATGTCGAATTTTACGTGTTTGAATTATGTAATTTGAATTTTAACTATATCCATGTAATTCATGCTTCAAAAATTCCATTATTAGACAAATAAATTCACAATTCCAGGACGATTAAATCATATATATATATAATTCAAACACGTTAAAACAGCCAAAACAGCGTTGCCGCTGTGTTCATGATCACAGTCATAATGTAAAAATATGTAGAGTCGGAACACGCCGACTCGATATGCCTTGACATCCGTGCATGTTCGTGTGTTAAGACATTCCTGTGACCGAGTGTAAATTATGTTTAACCCACGTGTTCGAATTTTATATATATATATATACATATATATATATATATATATATATATATATATATATATATATATATATACAGGGTGTCCAACAATTGCTGAATCACCTCTCGGGTATAAGTAGAGCGGGTTAAACCGAGTAGAAAAGTTCTCTACTGTTTTGCGATTTTCGCAATAACTAATGAGAAATTAATTCAAGAAAATCGGCCAATTCGCGCGAGTTTAAGTGCGCAGCGAGAAGAGACCCGTGGCGGTACAGTCCACTGTTATTTGGTTACTAAGCACGCGATGAAGCGTTGGGAGGAGCGCTCTACAATGAAAATGGCAACATACGAACGGTGCTGAACGCTAGATCCTTGCGTCCTAGCGACTACGTAACAGTGGGCTGTCTCTTCTCGCTGCGCGCTTAGACTCGCGGAAATTGGCCGATCTTCTTTAATTAATTTCTCATTAATTATTGCGAAAATCGCAAAACGGTAAAGGACTTTTCTACTCGGTTTAACCCGTTCTACCTACACCCGAGAGGTGATTCAGCAATTGTCGGACACCCTGTATGTATATATATATTTAAATTAGAAAATTAAAAGAAATAATACGTTGTCTAATAATCGAAATTCATTTTAATTTAAAGATTGAATAAGAATTATAAATAAATCAAAATTTAAATTAATAAAGTCAGAATATTTGTATCATTGATGTCCAACTAATTTAATTGTTAATTTATTGTTATGTATTTCATCTGTAAGATAAAATTTTAATTGATGAAATAGCAATATAAATTTAAATAAATATTTAAATAAATAATTTGAAATCATTCAAATTAATTCGACGGTATGTCCTTCAAGTAAGAAACAATCAATATATTTGTTATTTATTAAAGTATATATAATAAAGGAAATTATTAAAGTAATAAAAATTACAATTATTATAATAAACCCACACAGCAGGCATACTACAGCGGGATGTTCAGACGACATCCGGAAAATATCTTTAAGATATGCTATCGTCGGAATATCTTTTGAATGCTTTTGTGTGCTGTGTGGGAAATCATGGAAGAAGAGTATTATATCATAAATTGATGAATTTTGTAATGTTAATATTCAAGTATTAATTTTTAATAGAAGATTTAAATCTTTATAAATAAAGTTTAACGAAAAATGTAGATGCAAATAGAAATTGAGCAAAAAATTTACAAAGTATCAATAATTAAAAATCATTTTAATTACGGAACTCAAATAAACAATTAGTACTGCAAATGTTATATATTTTGTAAAAATTTTATTGTGTTATATTTTTAAAATTATATATCAATTTTTAAGGTCCATTTAAATAAGGATAAATCTTAACCAATACTGTGCGTACACCAATAGACGACCTGCGCATAAAATGGCACTAACAGTAGCGCTTCCCTTATCCGGTTTAAATCCGGATAATTTTTCAACGTTAAATGCAAAGCTTTTTAAGCTTGCAAACGAACGGAATTTGCCCACTGCCGGAAGAGAATCTCCAAGCACAGCCAGTGACTCGAGTGGCGTCAGTAGCTGCATGACATACAATACTTCATCCGTCGAAATAACACCAAATTCATCGAGACCAATTACACCAATTCGATTAATTGATCAGAAAAAAAGCGAAGAAAAAATAAATAACATAAATATCCAAGATAAAAAAGGTAACCAGGAAAAGGAACAAAAAATGGTAAGTTTCGCAAACGATAGCATGATGATCTAGATCTTAACATAAAAAGCGATTATAAGAAAGTTACATTATATATAAAAATTTTCGAAGAAACTATTAGATAAGAGAGAAAGTTTGAGATTTTTTGAATAGTATCTTAATATTATCACAAAAAAACATTTGCTTAATAGTCATTAAGATAAGGAAGAAAGTTTGTGAGATTTATTAAATGGTTTCTTAATATTTTCCCAAAAGAATATTTGCTTAATAGTCATCAATTATCAAAAGATAAGCACAAACAGCTTCTCTTAAAATAACATTATTATCAACAAAGAGAACTCTTCTAATAAAAAAATAATTACGAGAATATAGTTTTACATCGGTTTTATCGAACATAAATATTCATGTTTGTAAACAAGAAAAAAAACTGTTTCTTTTCAGGAAAATATCCGGATCTTGTATGAAAACAGAGATATATTGAATTTAGGCGGAAATATCCGTCCTGCAACGCTCTGGCAACCCCTTCCGACAGCCCGCGCTAATGTTGCACAATCGTTTATATTGCGTCAACGTAATAATAAGGAAGAAAAGAATGTTAAAGAAACGGTATGTACATGATAATTTTTTAAACGAAAGCTTTTGTTCTTCAAATAAATATTGGCTACCATTATAGAAGTTTGTTGATAATTCAAACTAACAAATATAAGTTTTAATTGAAAGATATCGACAAAATATAGATAAGATTAAATATTTAAATAAGTTATCACTAAATTCGTAACGCATAAATCACCAGTAAGAAATGCTGTGGAAAATTTCCATTCCAATTTAATGCCACGTGATTTCCATGTCCTTAAAGTTGAATATGATAATTTGTTAAAACAACAATTTTTGTACGTGTGTGAAGTTAGCATATCATATTTTGACATCGCATGAAAAAACGACAGTTCTGCTTGCATACACTATAGTTCTACAGTTCTAGATAGTTTTTAACAATAGTTCTATCGAATTACGCTAAAAAAACAAAAAAATAAAATTTCAAGAAATGAAATGCTAACTTCCCGTCTCACCTTCCAGCATCTCACCGGATTTCAAACGTATGAGCCATAAAGTACAAGTATTCAAAGAGTTCTACCGTTTCAACCCATCATATCAATAGTTCTGGTCATAAGAACAATAAAAAAAAATTCTAGTCATTATTAAAAGGATTTCACGCACTGAAATGTAATATGCTAGTGTCACTAGCAATAATGTAAATAATACTAGGGACTGGGAACTATGATTCTATGCTCGTACAAACCCAGAACTATCGCTAGTGACGCTAGCATATCATATTTAGGCACTTTTGGCGGAAATAATAATTATAAATAAATAGTTAAATGATTGTTTCTGGATAGAACTGTAATGTAAATAATACTAGGGACTGGGAACTATGATTCTATGCTCGTACAAATCCAGAATTATTGCTAATGACGCTAGCATATTACATTTCAGCGCGTGAAATGCTTTTAATAATGACTAGAATTTTTTTTTATTGTTCTTATGACCAGAACTATTGATATGATGGGTTGAAACGGTAGAACTCTTTGAATACTCGTACTTTATGGCTCATACGTTCGAAATTCGGTGAGATGCTGGAAGGTGAGACGAGAAGTTAGCATCTCATTTCTTAAAATTTTATTTTTTTATTTTTTTGGCGTAATTCGATAGAACTATTGTTAAAAACTATCTAGAACTGTAGAACTATAGTGTATGCGAGCAGAACTGTCGTTTTTTCATGCAATGTCAAAATATGATGTGCTAACTTCACACACGTAATTTTTGTTTTGTTTTATAGCACATTTTAAATGTTATATATATATTTTTTAAGAATAATTTCTTTAAGAATAATCTTATAAATATAAAGGTATATGTTACAAGCAATACTGTTATGCCCAGTGCCACCAACGTAGATTAACTTTAATCTCGGTTCAACTTATTCTAATTCTTAGAATTAAAAAAAGATAAAAAGTAAATTCAACCGAAAATTAAAATATTAAAATTAATCTACATTGGTGGGCATTAGTCAATTAGTAACACATTGTCACATATGGCATACACATGTGCGTCATGTGGCGTAAAAATTGCCGCAGAAATCATCGAAAATTTTTGCAGAGAACGTGTTAAAATAAAATATTTAATATTTCTTATTTATTTATATTTGGTTTTTTACTTATACTTATATATAGTTTATTTTATAACACGTTTTATATATTATATCTCTTTCTTGATAATTTTTGCAATTATAACTCATAATCATATTTTTTTTAATTCACAAATGAGTAAAAAAATCACGTAAAATAAGTAAAGCTCAAACACATAAAGTTGAATTAAGTTAAATTAGATTATATAACAAATCAAACTCTAATAATTGAAATTATGTTTTACAGCCACTTTGTATATACGCAGACTGCAAATTTTCTACAAATAAAATGCTCACCTGTTAACTACAAAAAAAAAGAACAAAACGATTAACAGTCATCGTTAACGTTATGGACAATTAAACCGATAATAGATCGGATAAGCAGTAGCTGAACAAAAATGTCAATTGAACATTATACAAAAATATGATAATTGTAATATTCAAAAGACACGACGCGTATCGCGTATTCGCGATATAAAACGCGCATATTGATTCGAATCTCATTTAACACAGAATCTTTTTCAAGTGCACAAGTGATATTGACGATATTGTTTGTCATACGTATATTTGAAAGAGGTATCGTGTTAAATTAGATTCAAGATTTTAAGAGATATATATTTTTTCCACTGATTACGGACTGCAGTGATCATCAATTTTCCTACAATTTGATGTCGTAAGATGTGGCAAAATTATGCCAGCAGCATAAATTTTGCAGCACGGTAAAAATAACTTAAGGTTATTTGATGCTTTATTTAAACTTGTTTTTCTAATATTAGATACTACAATTCTTCTAAAAACTTTTTTAATATGATAAAATAATCTCTACTGGCGCAATCATATCCCCATCTTGCGATACTCTTTATTTATATAAATCTCTCATAATCCAAACTTATCAACTCTATGCAAAAAACCTAGAAAATTGATAAACATTCACATTAATCATCTTTTATATCAAGTTTAAGAAATTTACAAAATATAGAGTTGATAAATTAGATAAGATGCTATAAAAGTAGCTTTAGATAATACGCATATATATGATATTACGCACAAATGACAATAGTGTACGTAACAATATCAGTTCCTTATGTAAAACCGTTCAAGTATGAAACAAAAGCTACTATTAAAATTTGCACTCGCATCGACTTATATCGATGACAATGACTTAATGTTCAACCATTTGTCTTACATCACGATTATACGAAATAAATTAGCACAAAAAAATATTTGTTTTGTTGCAAATTATTTTATCTATCCTGTATTTTATAAATTTTACTTTTATAAAGAATGAGAAAGAGAGAGAGAGAGAGAGAGAGAGAGAGAGAGAGAGAGAGAGAGAGAGAGAGAGAGAGAGAATTATCTACAACTCTTTAACTAATATAAAAAAAGGATCTGCATCGCAATGCATTATCAACATCAACGGATCTCCTAGCAGCTAGCTATACTTAAGCCGAAGATGAGCACGTTCGGCGAATTAGCACGTAAATTCGCGCGAAAGGCATTAGTGCCGTTTCACGAGCCGCACAAGGGGATTGATCGCTCGGACCCTCGTGCTTCTGCATTGTTTCAGCTCGAGCGTAACACCCGGCGTGGCGCTGCGGCCGATTCGATCCACAATCCCGCCCGTGCGACCCACACTCTGACGAGAGCCCACACTCGCGAATCTTGCATCAGGCCGCATCGCACGGCTGCGTTCCCCGATTCTCACGCACGCGGTACTCATTGACAGATTTCTCAATCTCTTCATTACGCACATTTAAAAGAAGAGACAAATAATTAATTATAAAGACACATTTATAATAAAAAATTACAAAAATATCCCTATATTTTTTTTTTTTAAGTTCTATATTATCCTGCAATATATATAATTATTATCTTATGTATTCATTATTTATAATAATAATTACAAATAAGATATTAATATATTAATATTGGGTTAATATATTAACCCAATTGTTTCGCGTTTAATAATCGAAATTAAGAGCGATGTTGCTTGTCTGATGATTTTTCGCGTTTGGGTCTCGACATTTGGTAAATCCACCACTGCCGTGTGCGTTTATATCGCTTGCGCGTATTCCGCGGGGTGTGCGGGACCCTTTCAGGATGCACGCGTGCATATATACCGGTGCACGCGCGCGCGTGGAAGCGCCCCGTCCGCGCGGATGCGTGGGTGCGTGCAACGCGCGAGAGATGCGCAGGACGACTATTCAGATATTGTTGTTATTGTTGAGGGAACAATCGCCCGTCAATAGGCCGCCTCGGCACAATGTATCTATTCAGGTGCGGTCAGCGGTGCTCAATCGATCAGGATCTACCCTTTGCGAGTCTCGAAAAAGTTACACGGGACCGATGAAGACCATCGTCAATTTATGCGCCGCGGAGATTTTCGAACAAAATGCCACTTTTAACTGAATCTACTTAATCTATAATATATATACAAAAATAAGGTTCTTATTTTCATATCTATACTTCTAAATATACAATGAAAGAGATTCTGATAATTTTTATTTTACACAATACAATGGTATAAATATAATATTTGATATATTTTAAAAAGAAAAATAAGTATTAATAAATAATATAAACTGCATGTAAGATAATTAATTTATTGACTCGACAACGGCAATGACATAATTAAATTATGTTTTTTATGAATTGCAATGTATATTTTTAGTACATTTATTGTTTTTGTAATAATTATTTTTAATAAAATATTTTATTTTTAAATACTTAATAATTATTCACTTAAGTATAAATCGGTTCCATTGTATAAGATATAATGGTATGTATAATTGACTAATTACTATAAGAACCCGATTTTCCAGATCACTTTAAATATCAAATAATAAAATAAATCCCGATTGGCAATCAATAATTTCGGCATCTAGAGTCGAAATGCGCATGTCTAAATCATTGTATCAACATCGAGTAATCTTCATCTTGTTGAATTTTTTGTTACTATACTTTGCTTTATTTTTCATACATAAAAACTTCTTTTTATTATAGCTTCACAAGAGATTGTAGATTTAACTTGTACATTAAAATTCAAACACATAATATATTGCCTACAAGTCAAGCATTCTAAAGATTCTGAGTGATAATCTATTTTATTTTTTTCTGTTGGCCCGTAACAATTGAGAGTCGCTAAGAGCCGCTCGCAACTACTACTACCATTCAATGAATCAGATAGTCAGAGCCGATAAACGGACAGCCACATCACGATGATACACCATAGGTTAGCGCATCAAAGACGATCCAAAAAAGAGGTCCGGTCGCCGGAGAAAAAGAGACCGCGGGTGAGAGCCACTGCCGCGAGCGAGGGTACCAGAGTTCCGCGGCTATAGCGATGATTACGTATGCGGGAATCATTGTCGAGTAACGCGCGATGCACATGCAAAGGCCAAAAATCGTCGAAATCAGTCGAGTTCAACATCAGCATTGTACCTGGGCTTTGTCTCTGCCTCATTGTTGTTGGTCTGTACTCTCTTCCCTCCCTCTCATTCGCACTCTCTCTCCCCTCTCTCTCTCTCT